TTCAATTCCTATTTTGAAAACCTAACCCCTAGTTGAAAACCCTCATTTGAACTGCTCAATATCGTTTAAAACCCCAAATGAAAATCCAAAACCTAGTTTGAAACCCCAATTTAGAACCCGAACCCTAGTTTGAAACCATAATGTGAACCCCAAGACCGAGTTTGAGACCTAATTTGAAACTCAAAAGCTACTTTGGAACCCCAATCCCAGTTTAAAGCCCCAATTTGAAACCCTATGCCTCGTTTGAAACCCGAATTTGAAACAGAAGACCCCTGTCATAACACTAATTAAAAACGCCACTTTGAAACCCTAACCTTGATTTAAAACCCTAACTTGAAACAGATGACCGAGTTTGAAACCCTAAATTGCGATCCTAACCCTACTTTAAAAACCCCAATTTAAGACCCCAAACCTAGTTTGGAACCCTCATTTGAAACCCGAACCCTAATTTGACATTGAATACCTCGTTTGAAGCCGCAATTTGTACATTTATCTTGAAACCTTAATTTGTGTCGTGAGGGCCCAACCGATGAAACTGATTTATTGGCCCTTTTGAAAAAAATCGGCATCAGAGTTTTGCCGATTGAGCGCCGACGCGTTCCGACTTTGTCGGGGAACAGCAGCCGCTCGGATTTGGTCGGATGTCGTCGGATGGCGTCACCCTTGCGATGGAGACGAGGCTCCACTTTATTGGGCTGCCGTAAACCAGGCTGAAGGCTGCCCCGCATCCCCTTTCCGCCCGTCACGTTGGGACCGCACGCGCTTTACATTCCATCCGCGCGAAATGGAGAGCACTCGTATGCAAAACGTCCTTTGTTGTTTTGTTTGGGGTTTTTTTTTTCCCCTCCCCGTTCGCCAGGCGGCTGGAAAACAAAAACTTGTTTTTCCACGCTCGTCGATTGCGTCTTGGCTGGCGCTCTTTTCACGCAAGCGGCGGCGGCGGCGGCGGCGCTGGCGGCTCTCAAGGCCGGCTCGCTGGCGCGCTGGGGACAATGGGCCGCTTATTTAGCCCCAGCCCACGCTCATCATTTATTTCGTTTTAATTTAGCTTTCCATACGTTTAGCTTTTCCTTTTTTCCCCCCCTTCTCTCGGCGCGTTAACGCTAACGTAGAAGAAGAAGAATCTGGAGAAATTGTTAGCGCATTTCAAAGACAGGGTTAGGGGGTGTTGAGCAAAGGTTAGGGTTTCGAGCCGGGGTTTGGGTTTCAAATTCACAATCAAAGGCATGGTTAGGGTGTCAAGGCAGGGTTATGCTTTGAAGTTTGGGTTTTAAGCAAAGATCTGGGTTTCAAAACCAGGTTGAGGTATTTCAAGCCAACGTCTGGTTTTCTCGTTTGGGTTCCAAATGAGGTTTTCAACCCAGCGTTCGAGATTTGAGTTTTTAACCAAAGAGCAGAGTTTCAATGTAGGTTGTGGCTGGGTTCCTTTCCCACTCGATTTGGTTCGACCCGGCCCCGGAAAAAAGCCCCCCCCCCCCCCACCCCCTTTTCTTGGCAGCAGCATTGTGAGGGTTCCATAAAGAGTCTTGTGTTTCTTTGCTAAACACTTTGGCCCACTACGCTACTGTAAGGATATGTTTCCCATGGTGGGAATACATGAATGCTTTCCAATTTCACACAATATTGACTTGAAAGGCCCTGATTGGCCAAACCTCACAACAACAACAATTGATGATGTCAGCACAGTGTGTATGAGCGTGTGTGTGTGTGTGTGTGTGTGTTGGGGGTGGGTGGGGTCTGTTCTTGTCACCAGGGCAACGGCAGTGTGTGTGGGAAGCAGCCCAAACACGACAGAGCTGACCTGACTGACTCAAGGTGACCGAGGTGGGGGGGTCCAAGGGGGGGGGGGGATAATAGAGGGCTCCGTTCGTGCTAATGGGGTACACATGTAACAAGATTAGGGCGAGGATACCTGGGGTGGGGGCGGGTGTGAAGGCTGCACATGGGAAGGGAAGATGCGACATCCAAAACATCCCACCACTTGGTTCACTTCATCAATCTTGGACACAAAACACGTTTGGCATGTTTGTTTTTTTTTTCAAATTGTCGCACTTGAACACGCAATTTTATGCATGTCAGTTCACATCTCGAATTCAAGTCCATTAAAAAATAAACAAAACAAACAAACAAAAAAATGCCCATATTAATTCATGCTTTATTCGCCTTTATTTTAGCATGAGATTAATTTATAAGACCAAAACATTTATGTGTTGTAAATCTGATTTTGTTTCTTGAAATACATATGAATGTACTGCTTGTGTTTGTTGACAAAAAAATGCATGGGTCGGTGTGCCTTGAAAAAAGAGAATCGCGTATTAAACGGCAAGCGTGACATTGAGGTCAACGCAATTGGACTATTTTTCAAAATCGTTCCGTCCTCCCTATAACACCGCCACGTAGATTTTATTTGTTAGCACGTCTATGGTATTTCCCACTATGTGTTAGCATTAGCATTCGGCCAGCGGACTTCAGGGCTGTTGCCTTCCACTTAAGTGGAATCAAATGGTGGCCGGCTGACGACGCTGGGTCTTCCTCCGAGCTCATCCTTCACTTTTTCACCCCTCCAGCTCCCCTCGCCCAAATTCCTGCACTCTGCTGAGGATGCCCAGTCAATTAAGAAGACATCGTCGCCGCCCCCTCCGGGATGCCGAATAAGGGGCCACCCAGGAGCCCACCGCCATGACCCGCCCTCCTTCCCCTCTAAAGCCTCTTCACTGGTGGCCCCCAGGAATGCCAATCGCTTTTGGGTGGTTGGGGGAACAAAAATTGGAGGGGCAACAAAAGGAAACGCTTAACTTCCGAGGAGCAGCAAGCACTTCAGCGCCGTCTTCGGGGAGAACAGCCCCGCCGCCCCCCCATCGCAGCACCACCACCACCACCACCAGTGAACAGACACGTTTCCTGTAGGAAATCGTGTCAAGTGAAGAAAAAAAAAAGTCATAGAAAAAAAATACTGAACTACAAGAATACAAAACGATGCCTTAAAGTACTTCAAACCACACAAATACTGAACAAATAGCAAACATCCTGGAATAACTGGTGCCACTTTGTTATCGGGCGCTTAAAACAGAGAGGATCATAAAGCATCAACACTGTGCTTGATGGACGAACATGAGCGCGAACCCATGTTACATAAACAAACGCATTCAGTGGTTCCATCATTCAACCTAAACAAACCACCTTCACGTGAGGTTCATCAATAGTTTGACTCAATCCATGTCAGTTCATACTAATAAAAAAATCTCGCTGTCCAAAAACGTCGACATGAATGAGGCCGAGGGGATTTCAAGTAAAAATTAAAACAGGTTTGCTGTATCACGAAGTGCAATCGTGCAAAAACAAACATTTGAAATAGCTCGCCGGCTTCCGCTCGGTGGATTAGCAGATAGCGTTTGGAGTGGCCGGCCTCCATCTGGATACTTGACCGCATTAAATGGAAGCCACACGGGCAGAGTGTGTAAAATGAGTTGTTCACCACTCAATTAGCGCAGACGCTCGTGGAAGTGCGGCGGCAGTCGCCGTGGTCCAAAGTAAAAGCTGGCAATAGACACCGTTTTATATCCTGATCATGATTCTTCCTCAAAATGACGTGAAATTAATACCAATTTGAAGTGACCTTTTCTCCATGGACGTATCTTTTTTTTTTTTTTTAGAGACCACACAATTCCCCGAATAAAGTGAAATAAGAGGAAAAAAAAACCAAATAAATACAACTCGAAATATGTGGTTGTACAAAGTAGAGAAGCACTTTTCAAGGAATGCAATAAAGGGCAGAGAATTTGAAAACAAAACGCTGCTTCAAGCACCATTCAAGTAGGCCTCCCATTTATCTGGTTAAAGTATTACTAAAGGGAGGGAAAGGACGGACAGGATTCCCTCAGTAGCAAAAATCGCAGCCAGTCAGATCAACACGTGGTAAACCGTGACACAACCTGCGACAAAAGTACGGTATAAAATGTCGGCAAATAAATGCTGAAAGGCATCGTAACCCTCCGAATTAGGTTAGCTAATAAATTGAGAAATTTAGCTAGCGACACACGAGTAACACACTCCAAACACAATGATAGCCTTCGGAACACATTGACGTAAGGACAATCGCGTATTTACAAAGTGTGGAACTGCCGATAGGGAGTAAACGTTTTTGACCGGCAAAGACAAAGACATCGGAACGTCTTGCAAATAAATACGTTGAAAAATCTTTGGAATCTGACGCATCCTTGGTAAGATTCCAAAGGACTTTTCAGTCTGGTGAAATTCATATCCTCGTTGGTAATATGTTGTGTAAATCATACGCGTCACTTCCTTCAAGTTGTCAAGTTCACAGTTCGATGAAAAAAATAGGTTTTAATTGCTCATTTCCGATAGTTTCTGAACCCGGAAGCTTGAGGACTCGCGGTTGTAGTTACTCTAGCCGCCGCTAGGGTTACCACAAGTGGCGTTTTAGGATACGTATGTTTGTATACGATTATTAAAAGCACTTTAAAGTTATAAAACGTAAGATACAACGCATAATGCATTTCTGGGTTTATTACGTCATTTTATAACCATATACTATTGTCATACTGTAATTGCGATCTGAGTGAAGTTGTTTTGGATAAAGTACGCCCTCTTAAGTCCATTTCAAGTTCGACAAAACTGCCACCCGAACATATACAGTTTTACATTTACAACAGTGCTTCACAAATACCGGTAGTTTCATCAGTAGTCTTTCTGTGATACTGGGGCGAATATTTTACTTATTAGGAAATGCTGAATAAAATGGGAAACATTATTTTGTGTATTATTTTTTTTTACTTTCACAAATATAATTTATTTTTAAATGTCTAAGTTAGAGCTGGAGTTTCAATCGATCATTCAAATGTACAAACTCATCAGTCCGAGCTTCTTCTGTTCCCCCCCCCCCCAAGACTGTGCAACAATTTAATCCGTGCGAAAGTCACTTAAAAAAACAAAACAAACAAACAAACAACAAAAAAAAAACACGTACAGTACAAGTTAGTAAACACAAAGGAACATTTTATTGTGACGTGACAAATAGTTCCCGAGACCTTAAAGGTCTAAAATAAATATAAATATATTTTCACATCAAACAATGGAAGAAAACAACCGCAGACAACGAACTGATCAGTCAACAATTATTACAGTAGTTTAGTCACTTTCTTTCTTTTCTTTTTTTTTTTTAAACAAATACTCTTGAGATCTTTCCACGTGTGCTTTGCTGCCATCTGGCGGCTGTTTGCTAGAACAACATGCCGCGATACCTGTTTTTTTTTGTTTTGTTTTTTTAAAAGCAGGTTCTGTACAACAACAACAACAAACACAACAACAAAAAAACAAATTGACTAAATGAGCAAACAAACGTACGATTGCGTTCTTGAGAAGAAAAGGACATATGATTTACTTCCCACTAGGCTAAAGGCCTCAAAAGATTCACAGTGGACCACAAGTTCGACAAAGAAAAAAAGCAAAAACCCTTAGTGGAGATTCTTTTTGATGCAAATGAAGTCGAACGTGACAGATAGTCGATTAAAAAGAAAAAAAAAATCATCAGAGTGCAAAGTGTCGCATCTCAAAGGGATTGACTGCTACAGTACATTTTCTTTACACAGAGGAGGGGGAAAACCAAAAAGGAAAACGGAGCAACCACGAGTCTCTTCCGGAAGGAATTTACTGGTTCAGCTTTTGTACAAAAAGTAGTGTCTTTTTTTTTCCATTTGGAGATTCTTGCAAAATGACTTTTTCAGTTTTGTTTGTCTTGATATTGAAATACGTCAATTTCCAGGGGCAATAAAGTACAGTGGAACCTCTTAAAGTCATTGTGATGATAACAAGAGAAAAGGAATAATTTCGACAGCTGTAACTGGTAAAATGGACCATAGTTTGGGGTGTATTTGGGGTCTTCACTATTGAGATCAGCCACCGAGCACAACAAATGGTCCCCCCTCATGAATACCTCACCAGGAAATGGGACACTGTGATTTCCTCGGAATGTTGCAGAAGTGATTATTTGAAAACGTGAACACCGGCAGAGACTGAGAGAAATAAAGTGTTGCATATTGTTAATGATCTGTTTCCTCATGATTTAGAGCAATAATGAACGTGAGCTGTGTTTCCACATCAATGAACATCAGTAATGATTAATCGGAGCGCCCGCGACCCTCGTGAGGGCAAGCGGCACGGATAATGGATGGATCATGGTCAACGAGTTTGTGGACCACCTCTTTGCGGAGACGCGTCGTTGGATGGACGTGAAGATGGAAGGAGGCTTGTGTTTTCTTTGGCACCAACACAAGTGGTGCACATCAGCTAATAGCGCCTGGCTCCAGGGGGCTGGGGGTGCGGTGGAGGGTGGGGGGGGGCAGTGAGTTCAAGGAGAGCTTTGTAGGTCTGCGGATTCCACGGATCGCACTTTTTGCATTCCCATTGTGGACGAAGGACGCGGTGTAAGTGGCTTCTGTCGCGCTGCAAAGACGGCGAGGACCCTCCAAAATATTTAAAACTGGTCACAAAATGGGGGCTGCATAGTTCAAAGCAAAACGGGAAATGATGGGCGCAGTGGGACAAAACAAACACCGGTTTTGCATAAATCACATGAGAGAGAGAGAGAAAGGAGAGAGGACGGAGCGGCTACTGAACCTCGAGGTTATTATCAGCGGTGGTATCGCGCTTTGGTTTTCCGGCTGAATGCATCCGAACGAAAGACTTGGGAGAAGCGACTCCCACCAACAAACGAAACTCCACGGAACGCAAGCGGACAGAAGACGGACGCGAGGGCCGGGGCGGGGCGGGGCGGGGGTTGGCATGCATAGCTTTCGAAATTCTACAACTCTTGACTTGACGCGCAAACGAAGGAGTCGTCGTGGCAGCAGGCGCGGTTCGAACAGCCCCTTTCATGCTGCCTTTCTGGCCGCTGCAGCTTTGCGCATTCGGATCATCGACAGCAGCAGTTGGTCGGCTTCGACGCAAACCGAGGGACAGTGGCAAACAAATCAACGTTACGGTAAGAGCCGTTTGGACGGAGCTCGCCGAATAGCCGCTGTGGCTTCACGCATTCAGATGATGACGTGCCTGGTGGAAACGGCGAAAACTGCCTCAGCGAGAATGGGACCTGCTCGGTGAGTCACAATCTGGTCGCAGTTCCGTCTGCGCTGTACGCACACGATACTCATTTGTGGGTCGAGTGACATCCCCCAAACATTCATGTCTTCGGTTTAGCGTGTATTCGATGGTTAGCGTAGCATATTCTCACCACCATATCCAAACAGGTAAGAAACGGACAAACCCCAAAACATTTTCGGACCACAAAAAAAAAATATATACAAAAAAACAACTCTGAAGGAAGGGGGATGTGCCCTCTACAGTCAGTCGTTATGCTAAGCTAACTAGCTAAAGGTTGCGGCATTTGGCAGAAAACGTCCGGGTGCTACCTATTTTCACATCAAACTGGCGTAAACTAGTTCTGATAAGCGTGCATGTCACGCATTGAAATTCACATTTGCATTTTTCTGTTGATGCCTCCTGGAGATACCGCGCTCATGCTCACTTGATATGCTACATTTCGAGTAGAATCGGCGCAGACGCTTTGAATTTCTGACAAAAACAAAACAAACAAAAAAAAACCCCGCCACAATAGCAGTTTGCTATTTTTAGCCCCATTTATTTTATAAATGAGCATAAATGGAAGTTGAGGGAGCGTTTGAGCCGTCTGCTTTGGGACTTTAGCGCACGGCCGCTGCTTTGAAGTCGTGTGGCATATCGACGCCTTCCTACGGAGCCCCAGACATGACAGGGATTTTTTTTTTCCCCCCAATTGTAGTCACGAAATGGTCACATTGGTCCACAGCAAATTTGAATCAGAGATGGCTTGATGCGTCCCGAAATATACTTTTGATTTTTTTTTTTAAATATCTTTACTTAAGATCTAGCACTTCAGCTTTTTGACATGATTTGATTTTTTTTTTTTTTTTTTTTTTTATGTTTGGCCGATTAAAGCTTCAGGGGTACACAAGACAAAAAAAAAAATGGTTGGGCAGCACAGCTCTTGCTCACCTTCTCGAGAGAAGAAGAATATTTTTCATTTTCGTTTTCAACTTTGGTCACAAATTTGTATTCGCTGTGCAATAAAATACCAACTTCCAGGCCACAAATAGCACGTCGTCATGTCTTGTCTGGGGCTTCGTATTTTTGGAGTGAATGGACAAATAGTGTTGCATTTGGTTGATTTTAAGTGCAGCGTTTGGAATCGGGCTACACTCCTTAGACACTCAAGTTAGTGACGCTAACCTAACTCTGAATAGCCACTTAGCAATAATGCTCTCTCTCTGCACAAAAAAAAAAGGGATCCACCATCAACCACAAACTACTTCTTGGAAAACAGTCATTTCGAGCTTAGATGCACGTACGGTGCACAAAATAGCTTTCGTTTAAAAGATTCACCATCTTCACACGTTCTCGCCTCCGGGTCGTAAATAAGTTAACAATACATCTCATCATAAATAATAATCTGTCGTACAAATGGCGTATAAATACCCGTGGCTCCACATGGCTCGCCGAAGACGGCAGAAGTGGACCCACGATGCAACCGAGCATTCGTATTTCCTCCCTTGTGGCTCAGGCTTTTTTTTTTTTTTTCCCCCTTTGGACCTTTCGGGGACCATCACGCAAGATGGGGGATGGAGGGACTTACAAGCTGGAAATGTCGGGACAGGAGGGCAGCCCTTGCATTGTTTTTCTTTTGCCCTGTGACAACTCCTTCCTGGTCCTGTCCTTGATTGACACAGTGTGAGTGTTTGAATGCGTTGCAGTGTTTGTGTACGTGTGTGTGTGTGTGTGTGTCTTTGAATTTATGTTTATGTGTGTGTGTTTCGTGTCTACGTGGGTATGTGTGTAGGCCCGGGATCGAGAGCGGGACGAGCTATTGCTAGAGGAGGTTTGCTTGATATTGAGGTTGCCGCTCCTTGTTGCATGCTTGTCATGCAATAAAAATAAAAAATAAAAAAAGGAGAAAAGAGAGTGGTCACTTCCCATCGGAAAAGTTAAAGGCGGGAGGCGCCGGCTGCTGCTGCTGCTGCTGCCCCGAGTCCGTTGCGGTGGGCGTGCTGACGGGCGTGGTGCCCGGCGTGCCCTCGGCGGGCCGGTGGCTGCCCTCGGCAAAGTTCTTCTCCTGGGACTGCGACGAGGACGACGAGGAGTGGGTGCTCTCGCCGGAGCTGCTGCGCGTCTCGGTGCTGGTGCTGGTTTTCTTCATCTTCCGCCGCTTAGCCAGCGGCGCCTTGTCCACCGTTTGCAGGCGGAAGCCTTCCCGCTTGCATTTGTTGAAAGCCTGCCGCACGAGGAGGACGGACGTGATTATAGTTGGTCTTGTTTGAACTCCCGGTTCGGGGAGTGAATCGTGACGATTAGACGGGAGGCGTGAAGCGAGCTTACGTTAAAGGTAGCTTTGACGTAAGTGTGGACCGACGCGGTGGATGAGCCCAGGATGTCCGGCGTCATGAGCGGGTTGGAAGACAGCTGGCTGCCGTCCTGGAGCCAAGCGTTGTAGCGCAGGCCGCACATCTTGATCCGCTTGCTCGGGTCCACGGTCAGCAGCTCTGCAGGACCGCAGGCGGTTACTTGCGGGCCAAAGTCAGGAGCGCCAAGTCCCACGACCCGCATGAAAAAATGGGGAGGCGGCCCGACGTCGGGAGCGCGATGGAATGCCGACGGCAGGCCACGAAAACTCCCGTCCGTTCTCACCTTGGATGAGATCTTTGGCCTGCTGCGACACATTCCTCCAGGCTTCGCCTTCAAAGGAGAAGTCCCCCTGTTTGATTTTCTTCATGATCTCCTCGGCGCTGGTGTGGGTCAGGCTCTGCTCCTGACATTGGAAAGGCACCTGGCCGGACAGCATGGTGTACTGCGAACGACGTCGTCAAATTCAACACACTACGACAACGGGGCACATACACTTTGCTCGACGGATGCTCGGCTTCGCTTTGGCCTTCACGTGTATTTTGCCTTGAAACGACAGAATGGGTCACGGTTGACGTGGTTCTTTTTTTTTTGACCGACACTCCACTCACCAGAATGACGCCCAGGCTCCACAGATCGCACGACTCGTCGTAGCCGTCATACTTGAGGATCTCGGGCGCGGCGTACTGCAAGGTGAAGCAGGGCGTCTTCAGGAGCTGATTGTCCGGCGGCTTGAGGCGAGCGAAGCCAAAGTCGATGATTTTGATCTCGGAGCTCTCGCTCTCGTCAGTGAAGAGCAGGTTCTACCAAGCGGTTCCGCACACGCATTTCCACACACACACACACGGGGTCGTTTATTCATTTTTTTTTTGACTCGTTTGTGAGTTGATGAAAGTCGCCAAGTCATGCGCGCCGAGTGTGCCGACTACCTCTGGTTTCAGATCCCGGTGCACCACGCCGACGTCGTGCATGTGGCTGACCGCCGACACCAGCTTTCGCATGATGCCACTGGCCTCCGTCTCGCTGAAGTGCCGCTTGCGGCGGATGCGCTCCAGCAGCTCCCCTCCGCCGAGCAGCTCCAGGACCAGATAGGTGTGGATCTGCCGCAATGCAAAACAATACAAAAAAAAAAAATAAAATAAAAACATAAAAAAGTCATCCTTAACAAATTCACCTGCTCGCAGATTTTTCTGTCGAATTAATTGTTGTGTTCTTTCTGCAATGCCCTAAAATACCACCCAACCACCTGAGCTCCAGTAGAAGCTAATTGTGGAGTTGGCCAGTGCTAAACCTCTCAAAACGATGCAGCAAAAGGTGCGGTCTGTTCCCGGCAGTGGTGGAAATAAATAACGGATCAGCTGGTAAGGGTTAGCTGCTGAACAAAGAGTAAAACAAGTGCTTGTTTTGCAATGTATAATGGTCATACAAAGTATACAAATGAGGTCAGGGAAAGCCTACTAGAACATCTGACCTTGATTTGGAGTTCATCAGAGGTACCCAGAAGGGTTTTCCAAACATTTTTCTTGCCGCCCTCAAAGGTTGAACATGTTCAAAATATCTTTGTGACAAGAAAAGCTGTTTGCGACCGTTAATAGCGTTTCCAAATGTCTGGCAGACATCTTTGCAACCTTGATCGAACCCTGACGAAAAACGAGCCGTGCGCAATCCTTCGCAGCTCAGTGAGATACGGGCTTAAGATTTGCACATGCGGGGCGGAGGTGGTGTCACAATTGTTTATGATTATTATTCTGATGATTATTGCTGAACACAGCCACATCCCCAGTTAGAGTCGGAGTGAGTGAAAGTGGGAGGCGAACGCACCTGGTCGTGGTATATTTCGTGCATCTTGACAATGTTTGGGTGGCCGTCACAGAGCTTCAGAGCGGCGATTTCCCGCTGAGTCTGTGCCTCCATCCTGGAGGCCAAAGACAAAAAGGAAGCGCTCACAACAACATCCGTTAAATCAGGAGGAGTTTTTCTTCCGTGAACTTTGTACCGCTTGCTGACGATCTTGACGGCGTATTTCTGCCCAGTTTTCTTGTGCGTGCAGCGCCTGCAGATGGAGAAGCTCCCCTCGCCCAAAGCGCTGTCCTTTAGGTCCATCTCGTAGCTCATATAGAAAGGCGAGTCCTGCCACAAGCCAGAGCCGGAAAATGTTCAATATAGGAAAATACATTTGAGGTCCGCTTGCCCGCCGCTGCACTACAATGGGTAAAAAGTCGCAAGTTGTTTATTTTTTTTACTGATGAGGTCATGTCAAATAGACTCCCATCGCTCGTGACAACACACTCGGTGGCATTTGTAGGCTCCACGCTCTAATGTATTCAATTTGCAAATAAGGCTTCTGTGAGTGGCCGCTTAATGAAATTACCCCCGAGGCTCTCAGCAACTCGTGCAGCTCATGCCGATGAGGCGAAAGCTTGCTCCGAAGCGCGCCGACATGGCGAAGCAGTGATCGACTGGGAGTGTAACGTGGTGTAATTATTGTGGGAAATGTGCAAAAAAAAAAAAAAAAATGAAAAAAAATAAGGACCAGGCAAGCGTGACGGCTGCGGCTGGATGTTTTGAATAAGTCCTCACGTCCGCTGGCAGTGCAAGCGGCCATTAATGGCTGCGACAGGCACTTGTGATTGTCGACACCGACTCTGGCTGATGTGAAAAAAATTCAAAACTCCGGGGAAGGTGATTGTTGCCCGAGTAATTGATGGAATAATGGATGGGTTCATCGATTACAAAAAGATTTGTTATGTTTGCATTGTCACTGTTGGGCCTGTATCACCATCATCCATCGATTTTTTTTTTTGATGCAGCAAAAGGTGCGGTCTGTTCCCGGCAGTGGTGGAAATAAATAACGGATCAGCTGGTAAGGGTTAGCTGCTGAACAAAGAGTAAAACAAGTGCTTGTTTTGCAATGTATAATGGTCATACAAAGTATACAAATGAGGTCAGGGAAAGCCTACTAGAACATCTGACCTTGATTTGGAGTTCATCAGAGGTACCCAGAAGGGTTTTCCAAACATTTTTCTTGCCGCCCTCAAAGGTTGAACATGTTCAAAATATCTTTGTGACAAGAAAAGCTGTTTGCGACCGTTAATAGCGTTTCCAAATGTCTGGCAGACATCTTTGCAACCTTGATCGAACCCTGACGAAAAACGAGCCGTGCGCAATCCTTCGCAGCTCAGTGAGATACGGGCTTAAGATTTGCACATGCGGGGCGGAGGTGGTGTCACAATTGTTTATGATTATTATTCTGATGATTATTGCTGAACACAGCCACATCCCCAGTTAGAGTCGGAGTGAGTGAAAGTGGGAGGCGAACGCACCTGGTCGTGGTATATTTCGTGCATCTTGACAATGTTTGGGTGGCCGTCACAGAGCTTCAGAGCGGCGATTTCCCGCTGAGTCTGTGCCTCCATCCTGGAGGCCAAAGACAAAAAGGAAGCGCTCACAACAACATCCGTTAAATCAGGAGGAGTTTTTCTTCCGTGAACTTTGTACCGCTTGCTGACGATCTTGACGGCGTATTTCTGCCCAGTTTTCTTGTGCGTGCAGCGCCTGCAGATGGAGAAGCTCCCCTCGCCCAAAGCGCTGTCCTTTAGGTCCATCTCGTAGCTCATATAGAAAGGCGAGTCCTGCCACAAGCCAGAGCCGGAAAATGTTCAATATAGGAAAATACATTTGAGGTCCGCTTGCCCGCCGCTGCACTACAATGGGTAAAAAGTCGCAAGTTGTTTATTTTTTTTACTGATGAGGTCATGTCAAATAGACTCCCATCGCTCGTGACAACACACTCGGTGGCATTTGTAGGCTCCACGCTCTAATGTATTCAATTTGCAAATAAGGCTTCTGTGAGTGGCCGCTTAATGAAATTACCCCCGAGGCTCTCAGCAACTCGTGCAGCTCATGCCGATGAGGCGAAAGCTTGCTCCGAAGCGCGCCGACATGGCGAAGCAGTGATCGACTGGGAGTGTAACGTGGTGTAATTATTGTGGGAAATGTGCAAAAAAAAAAAAAAAAATGAAAAAAAATAAGGACCAGGCAAGCGTGACGGCTGCGGCTGGATGTTTTGAATAAGTCCTCACGTCCGCTGGCAGTGCAAGCGGCCATTAATGGCTGCGACAGGCACTTGTGATTGTCGACACCGACTCTGGCTGATGTGAAAAAAATTCAAAACTCCGGGGAAGGTGATTGTTGCCCGAGTAATTGATGGAATAATGGATGGGTTCATCGATTACAAAAAGATTTGTTATGTTTGCATTGTCACTGTTGGGCCTGTATCACCATCATCCATCGATTTTTTTTTTTTCTTCTCACAAATCTCTACTTGTGACGGCCTGGTGGTCCAGTGGTTAGCACGTCGACCTCACGGTGCAGAGGTACCGCGTTGAATTCCAGCTCCGGGCTCCCTGTGTGGAGTTTGCATGTTCTCCGCGTGCCGGGGTGGGTTTTCTCCGGGTACTCCGGTTTCCTCCCACATTCCAAAAACGTGCATGACAGGCTGATTGAACACTCCAAATTGTCCATAGGTGTGAGTGTGAGTGCGGATGGTTGCTCGTCTCTGTGTGCCCTGAGATTGGCTGGCAACCGGTTCAGGGTGTCCCCCACCGTCCGTCCGTACCTTCATCATAGCGCTGCGGGCCACTGCGACCGACCCGGGCCGCTCGGAGCCACCGCACAGCTGGACGGGGTCGTCCATCACCACATTCCTCTTGAACAGGATGGAGGGGGACATGAAAGAGTAGCCCTAAAAAACAAACAAACAAACAAAAAAACACACACAAATATGCACAAATGGGAGGGGGGTTAAAATGCCGTCAAAACACCTTCATCAACAGCAGAGGTGATGTTTTCAGAAACGTTTTTTAACTGATAGCCACTGCAAAAGATCAAACTTCAAGAGTGAAACGTATGTGAAGCTGCTTTTCATGCAAATGACTTAACATATTATGGCGCACCTGGAGAACGGGATGTGGTGGCACCCTACTGGCTGCAAAGCCTGCCCTTTGCAGGTTGGACCGTAATGTTGCCCCCTCCACATGTGCTCGTCAGTGTGTCGTGTATTCATGTGTGACAGGAGCTCAGTCTGGAGGGTTTTGTTTTTTCTTTATGTTCTCACCACGCCTTGTAAAAGGCAACCCGGCGGACTCCCATTTTGTATCCCCTCGTTGGTCATTCTTTGTCTATTTTCTTGAGCTGATTGTGTCTGTCCCATTTCATTGCACCCTGAGCTCAAGCCTCAAGAGATTTGATGAGCTCACACATGAAGTTTTGTTGGACTTTTGGCCTATTTCTCCAGACAGTAGCTGCAACTTTTTGGCAGGTCTACAACTTGAGAGATTTCCACTGTATGTTTCAACCAGTGACATTTTGGTACATCTTTCCCTGGAGATATAATCGCCAGTCTAATAATCACCACAATTCTGTGCGGAAATTGTCCAGCTGTTCCTTTTTTTTTTTTTTTTGGTGTGTTGTTGCTGTACCAACGCTCATTGTGAAGAGACGACCGCTTCATTCAAACTGCGGGGATTCCGGGGCCCCAAGCACTGGCATTCATTTTACACACACATATATACACACACACACACACAGCTGTGGCGTGCGCGAGTGACAGCATCGGATGGACGGAAGGATGGCTGCGTCAATAAGATGCCCCAAATTGCCGGGCTTGAAAATGTGATTGCTGTCAAAATCACAGCCTGGCGCTGTTAATACAATTTTAATTCTGTTTTGTGAGGCACCGTTGGTGGGGCGGAGGGAGGGGGGGGGGCGCGGTAAGACCCCCTCCCCTCCCCAGGCGGGCTGAGAGGGAAAAACGAGCAATCAAAGACGGGAGGCGTCACTGCGGCAGACGCGGCGACGCTCCACGAGTGCCACCTTTTATTCCATCAGAGAAGTCGAGCTAATGCGTCTATTGATCGCGGCCCGGCTCGAGCATCCAGAAGGCAATCGAGAGTTGAAATTGCAACGCCCGCACATCAGCTGGCGGTGGGGAGTTATGGCCCGTATTACGGTTCAAAGCCGAGCCCTCAAAAATAGTCATTCGCATCTGCGACTTCAATGGGGCAGACCGCGGGCGGCTGCAATTACGCCGATGAAAGGCTCGTTGAAGCGGCGTGAATGGCGACGGGCCCGCACACAGACGCGTGTTGACTTACAGCAACCTTTTGAGGACATTCACAACTTGACACTCGACTTGGATTGCGGCGGAGCGCGTCAAATATAGTCGCAAAAGGCAGAACAGGAATCAACATTCCACGCGAGAGGAGCAAATATGAACGGAGGAGTGCGCGGCGACCGACTTTCGGTGTCATGACGTGACAATATAACATGGGAAAGGAGATGCGCGTTCATGCGTCCATTTTCTAGAGCAGTGCTTTCACCCTGGGATCCCGCCAAAAGCGTATTGCTAGCTATGGCGTATGCTAGCCAAGGGCTAAGCTGCATTGTATTTGTTGACAAGAGCACCGGTAACACTTCCTGACGCTTACCCAATATTGTATGTTCTATGTGAGAACCTGGTACACCTGTCCTGTTCTGAAAAAGTCACAATACTAATACATATATATTTTTTATTTATTTATTGATTGATTTTTACGAGCCGTCCACGACTCACCCGAAATGGGTCAGCGACCCACTTTTGGGTCCCAACCCACCAGTTGAGAGTCGACTATTGTTTCCAAAGCTCAAGAAAAAAAAATCTTACGGCACACTGTCCCCCCCAAAAACGAATATTCAGTGTGACCTTGATTTATGACTGACCAGACTCACTTTTTTTTTTTTTTTTTGGTGATACTGCTGAAGCTGTTGCCGTGACGATTTTTTTTTTGCGCTGACGTGCTCTCAAAAATTCAATCTATGGGCACTAGATGGTAGTAGCTAACTCAACTCATTCCACAAAAAAGCACCACTTTTGTCACATCCTGAACAACTCTTTCAAAAAGAGGCATCAACTGTTTTTTGCCACTTTCTACTGAAATTTACTGTACCAAACAAGAGAGAGGTCATGCCGAGTCCTACGCTGTGTCATTAAAAATAACCAGAATGTTTGGTGTCCCACCTGGAAGATGCGGTCACAGTTCTGCGGCAGAGCGGCGGGCGAGTAGGTGGGGTCCATCTCCGTGAACTCCTCCGCAAAGTTGCTGACGTCCAACTCGTCCCGGATGACCGGTTTGAATGGGGCGGGCACCTTTTTGGCCGACAGGTCCTCCCAGTTGATCTTCTGTGGCGGGTAAGGGGGGAAAAAGATACAATGTGTGTAATTCTTTTTGTTGTTTGTTTCGTGTTAGTTTAGTTTTTTTTTTTAAACCGCTTAAAGCACGCTCAGCGAGGGAAGAATCACATCATGTCACGCTTGATGGACAAGCAACATGGGGCATTTGAGGTACTTTCAGAACGCAGAAATTTGCAAACACACACCGCGCTGTTGGGCACATTCATCGTTTTTCTTCGATTAGAATTTTTTTTTTTTTTTGTCACCGTGTCAAGGTACAATCAAAATCCCGATTCGATGTCGCAGAATGGCCCGGCTCTCGCCGCAGATGGCAGCACGGACCTGGTAAAATGGATGCTTCTTGACAGTCTCCACCCCGTTTGGACCTGAGCCGAGCCTCTTCTCGGGATCTTTGGTGAGCAGCCGCTGGATGATGTCTTTGGCCAGTGGCGCCATGTCTTTGGGGAAAGGAGGATCTTTTTTTAGAATCCTCCTGGGGCAGACGGAGCCAGACAGATGTTTCAGTGGACGATACACGCGGCCGATGGAAAAACAAGTCATCTGAGAAGTCGATTCACACCTGGCGATGTCTGTGTGCGAGTTCTCGTCACCGTCGACGGTGAAGGGAGAGCCGCCGGTCAGAAGTTCGTACATTAAAACGCCCAGACTCCACCAGTCCACCGCCTGCGAGGGAATTCACACACACACACAGACACACGTTTGACGCTGCGCTCTTAGCGTGTACGAACATCAGTTAGCATAAATCACGGCAGTAAAAGTAGCGAAGTCACCTTGTCATGTCCGGACTCGCCTCCTTCCACAATCTCGGGAGCCATGTACTCGATAGTGCCGCACACAGAAAAGGCTCGATCCACCTGTTTCAATGGGAAAAAAAATCCACACTCAGCATTGTTATCTTTGAAAAGGCCTTTTTTTTTTTAAATCAGCTGCTATTGCTAAGATTGTTCAGGCTGCATATAAATGTAACGATGGATATCTTATTTGTTTGTGTATATTGTTTTATTTTGCATACCATTACATGTTGAAACATTGTGCGAAATTATATATATATATATATATATATATATACAGAAAGGTGTATAAATAGATAAGTACAGTACACATAAGTACTTGATGAGATGTAGATCTCTTCCTTTTCTTTTGCATTGAAAAATGATCTATTTATATTAGAGTATAATAAATAAATGCATTACCTTTATTATAAGCTGTATAAAAGCAATAAAACTAAATATTTTTTTAATAACGTATCTGGAACAAAACTGACTGGCTACATGATGAAAGAAAGAATACAATGCAGCAAGGTTATTTAATGTAACAACATTTATAAATAAATGGATTTATGAAAATGAAAATTAATTATTACAATAATTTGGTACCAACAAGAGTATAACTATACATGAAACTTTTTTTTTCACTCAGAAACAAAAAAAATATCAAGTTGTGTCTGAGGCACTCAGTGTTTTAATTGACAGGAATCCCTCGTTTATCATGGGGGTAACATTCCAAAAAGAACCGGTGATCAGTGAAATCCGTGAAGTTTCTTTTTTCCAATTATTATGTAAACAACACATACTGTATTGAACAAAAACAAAGACTTTTTTTCAGGCCCAAGCATTAAAAAAAAAAATCAATAAAAATGTCTGTGATAGATGGTATAGTAAGGGATTACTCTATTTTAAAATAAAAAGAAAAAATGTCTTTCATCTACTATTCATCCATCCATCCATTATCTGAACCGCTTTATCCTTACAAGGGTCGCAGGCGTGCTGAAGCCTATCCCAGTTGACTTCAGGCACTTGGCGGGATGCACCCTTGAACTAGTCGCCATTCATTTTATTTGTCATACGTCATCAGTGGCTTTCATTCCCCGCAACATTAAAAAATAAAGTTCACTCTGGTTCCTATTCTAATGTGAATCACAGGATGAAGACAAACCTGGTCAAATTCTTTACTGAGTCCGAAGTCTGTGAGGACAATGTGACCGTTTGAATCCAGCAAAATGTTTTCCAGCTTCAAGTCGCGGTACACGATCCCGAGCTGCAACAGGGGAAGAGGCCGTTAGTAACGACGACAAACAATGTGAAGACGCGACCGGCGCACCGGCGCCATCACCTTGTGGAGATGCTCCAGCGCCAGCACGATCTCGCCGCTGTACAGCGCCACTTCCTGCTCCTTGAAGCGCACCCGCTGCACCAGGTGCGTGAAGAGCTCGCCGCCATTGACGTAATCTGCGGAAGTCAATCATAGTTATAAGAATGACTTGCATTTGTACTGTGCGTTTCGGTAGGAGTGGCAAGAAAATTGGCAACACACCGAGAATGAGGTGCAGCTTGGTGTCGGTCTGGAAGGCGTAGTGGAGCGTGACGAGGTAGGGCGACTGGCGGATGTGCTCCAGCACCTGACGCTCGCTGCGCGTGTGCTCCGCCGTCTTGGCCTTCTGCACGATGGTGGCCTTCTTCAGGACTTTCATGGCGTACAGCTTGCCCGCGTCGTGGCCGCTCACCTTCCTCACCAGGAACACCTTGCCGTATGCTGACGGGGGGGGGGAGTTGACAAAAGGACAGAGGGGACACAGTTCGGCACACGCACACACACTCACACAAAAATCAGCTTTACCATCAACAAAGGGGACTTACCTCCAGTGCCGAGCACCTTTAGCAGCTCAAAGTTTTCTATTCCCACCCGTTCCACGTGACCCGTTAGGTTGGCTGTGAGCCACAGAAACACACACGCACATACACAAACACAACCTCTTATAAAGTATCAGCCGGACATGATGGTCATGTAAAAGAGACGGCGGCAAAGTCTTTCTTGTCGCGCTCGCTTTTAGATAGCAACCATTTTGAGATCAAGGAACCACATTTTTTTTACTGTGTGTGTGATTTGTGCTAAAATGGACCCACAGAGCAAAATGAGTCACAGTGACCCATATTGCACAAATGAGGTTTTGGCCTAATCAAAAAAGAAAAAAAAAAAAAAAAGATCTCAGCTTTTCAATGATATGTCAACCATTGCATCATTATTACTCATTACATTATGACCACAGATATGAATAGGTAGATGTGACACCACCACCACCCACCCCGAGCCCTGTGCCGATTATTTTACTCAAACGAACAGCAATGGACCGATCAGAGGCCAGTATTTTGGGGTCATGATCTGAACTCGAACGTTGCAAAAGCTGCTGGCTTTTATAATGATACCCGTATGTTGGGGATTCCCCGTTGGGATATGGAAGACATAAAAAGGAGAAAATAACTATTTTTTTCCGAGCCAATCACTGAGTTAAAAAAAAAAAAAGGTTAGATAACTAATCACTGATCCAGTCAGAAGATATAACAACCGATCCAATCTATTTCAACTTTTTTTTTTAACTGCACGGTCGTGGTGATTTATGTCTTATTTTGTGGCTCCATAAAGTGCTCAGTATCTGCCAAGCCGATGAGATTTGTGTAAACTCTACAAATTAAATGCAAAAATACAAAAATAATAATAATCATCATAATAATAAAGAAGATGGGGAAGTTCATGTGTAATAAATGCTGAAACATCAGTGCATTGGTCGTACGAATGTGAGGTTGTGCAATATGAAGCAGTGAGCCTGCTCGGACGGTCAGAGTGCTTTGAAATGACAGAATGAATGAGTGAGTGGCAAACAAAAAGCAGCGGCGTACTGACAGCACCCCCTCGGGCGCCTTCCGAGTTTGTTGACCTGCAAAAATGTGTGCAATGTTAAAAAAAAAAAAAAAAAAAAGAGAAACAAAACATGTTACATAAATAGCATGCTTGGTCTTCACACCCACTGGAAATATACACGAGAGGAGGAGGACGCCACATTAAACCGGAGGAGGGTCATTAGCGTCCATCTGTGAGGTCTTCGGTGCGACTCACGATGTCTCCGCACAGCCGGATGATCGTGCTCAGTGTGCATATCGTCGTGAATGCCTCACCCCCGAGAGCGATTTGAGCGCCTTCAACTAGACGTGACAAGGCTGGGAGGGCATACAACCACAAACGGCGTCCCCCCCAACACTGAAAACAAAACAAAACGAAAGTAAATTAGAAGAAACACACTCACATACCACACCACATCACAAACACACATA